TATTATTTTTTATTTTATATATATATATATATATATATATATATATATATATATATATATATATATATATATATATATAATATAATACATAATTTAATAATATATTATATATATATAATATAATCTCGAGTTCGTAATCTCTTGTTCGTAGATTATGTCCAATTATTGATAACTTAGTTATTTCTAAAAATCGAAGAAAAAGTCCTTTTGGAAACATACATTTGAAAATATATACTTCAAGAAAATACACCAAAAAATCGATTTGTTTGAGCTAGTAGACTCAAACAATGTACTCAAATTGAATACAGAATATTGGCACACGTTCTGGTGTGAAAGATCGTGGTCGTTTCAGATCGCAAAGGGTGGCACACGTATTTCAAAGAAATCGAAATTCGACAATTTCATTTTATCGATCGTTGTGCTCCGAATACCGCTCGGTATACATGAGAGCGGAAAATGTGTGTATAATAGTAAGAGTGAATCGGTATCATCAAATTAGCGAGCATTTCTGAAACACACAAGGGGAGGTCTTTGCACTTAACACTGGTTTGCGTGCGGCGAATAGCGTGAACGCGGGACGCGTGTTGGCCGCACGCGTGCACGAGCAAGATGCACTCTCTCGAGTATACGTGGCCTCGACCTTGGTGCATTGCTCGACTGGACTGTGCATCGTCCCACGCAGTGGCGTAACGCCCAGGTGAGATTTGAATTTTTTACCGGACCGCGTCCTCGGGACCAATCGTATAAGGATATACCCACCATTGCAATTCCTTGTCACTCGAAGCCGAAACTAAAAATAGTGAACTTTATTTTTCCTCTCGTTCGCACGCCGAGACTGCCGATGCATTTTTTAGAATTTCCATTTCCTATATTCTACTGGTTTGTATCCTTTAATTTTTTACTTGTTTAACCCTTTGCACTCGAGTGGGGACTCTGAGGCACCGCTAAAATTTGTTACGTCACGTTTTGAGATAATTTTTGTATCGACAAAGTTTAGATTGAACAAATTGTTAACAGCGTAATTGTTGTGTGACTCCCAAGAGTCAATTTCGTATGCATAAAATGCATTTTGCCGTATCAAATAAAAACGCTGCTATTTAGAAAAATAATTTTAGATTTACAGTTAAAATAGCTTCGAGCGCAAAGGGTTAATTCCGAAGATTTTGAATTTGGTTGCT